GGATCAACCTGGACACGACTGATCTCAAAAGATCCGATATACCCTATGTAGTACACTGGCCTTTCATGCTTATGTTTGATTTGTATGTCTTCTTGTGTGAATGATATGCATGACAGACTTCTCATAGATTGTAAGCATTGTGCACAGGAAGGCCCTCCAGTAACTTCTGGGACTACAAGAACTTGTATAATAAAGCTCTATGTATCTATTAAAGCTTCATTCAGAGCTTTTGTCTTCGACAGCCGCAAGAGCTCATACAAGATGATCCTGGCCAGAATATTGGCTAACTATGCCAGAACATTAAAACAGAAGGGAGAGTTTTATCCTCTAGCTTCTTGAAGAAGATTTTTGTTATACTGAAGCTCCTTCTGTTTCACTTTATCTGTAGGCTTCTTAGGATTAGAATCCCCTACCTCTTTAGCCTGTTCTTCTGCTCCTTGACCAACTTGATCATACTTTTTTAAGTTTTTCTTCCTTGATCTGGTGCCTACTCCAGGGTTTGCTTCTTGGTCGGCGGCAAGGATGATCCTCTCTTCTTATGAGTCAGTGAGGGGGACCAGATATGAATCATATTCATTCAGAGAGGGGCTAATCATATTGGATGTTCTAGCATTATTCCTCTTTTTCTTTGCTGACGTGCTTGTCCACTATTGATCTTCAAGCAAGTCGGGATGGACCCACATTACCTCTCCTTTTGTAGTAGTAAGGGGTACTAATCCTTTCTCTTTCTGATCATGAATGTTAGTATTATTCAAGTGTAGCTCTTCTTTAGGGATATGAATGACCCCATTAGGAGTCACAATGGGTGGAAAGTCTTCGAACTGGACCGATATCACATTGGTAAAAATGGTCTTCTGTTCGAGATTCAACTTGAGCACATCGGCGTTGACTAGGGCTTGCAGAATATCCTTAAAGATGTAACATTTCTTTGTTGGATGTCCCAGTATTCTATGATAGCGACAGTAGTTTGGATCGTCCACTTTTCCTGCCTCTTCCGGTCTCTTTACTTCAGGAAGCTTCAACTTATTGTTCTTCCGAAGTAGCTGGAATAGAGTGTCCACATGGTCCTCTTTAAAAGAGTACTACTTTGGTGCTCTTGATTGACTCAGTGCCTTATCCTACTTGGCAGGTAGCGCTCGAGTATTGGTATCAGTGGCCAGAGTATCCTTTGCCTTCAGTCGGGGAGCATTGCCTTGACTGCGTTGCCCTACCTGCTTCGGTTTACTTGTTTCTTCAGCTCTGACCCGGGCAACAAGTTCTTCTGCTTGATCTCCTTGGGAGACTAGCTGTTTCTAGGATTGACAATCCATAACCCCCATTTGAGCTAAGAGATGAGTTTGCAAATTGTACCGACAGGTTTCCACTAGCGTAGATTGTGTCATGCCCGACAGACATCACAAAGTCATGCTACGGAATCTCTCGACAAAGGCTTTGATAGATTCTCCTTTTCTTTGCTTAGTAGCAAGAAGAGTAGGGACAGAGACTTCGGTGTTGTCTTCAAAGAACCTGGCTAAGAACAGCCATTCTAGATCCACCCACTTCTGAATATATCCAGCCGGCAGTTTCATGAACCATTCAAAGACAACCCCCTTAAGGGTACCAATGAACAAACAAGTCAATATGGTATTATTTGATATTACATCTCCAGTCTGTGACTTGAAGTAGTAAATATGTTGGGTCGGTAACCCTGTGCCGTCAAAAGCTTGTAGAGTTGGGGCCTTAAATCTCGACAAAAAGGGAGCTACATCCCATTCAGCGGGATAAGGCCTCACAACTCCTTCTTGGAGCTCGCTCCTGTTGGCTATAGCATTAAGGTGGGCTTCTAATTCTTCTATTTTAGCTGATTAGGGATTCTGCTCATTTTCAGCTTCTTTTTCTTCTTCAGAGGAAGAGGCTATGTGATGAGCTTCTTGGTCAGAGGTCTCATTCACTTTTTATTTCCCCTTTGATATAGATGATCCTCCTTTTCGAGAGGATTCCTGCCAAGGTTGTGACACAATTTTCTGATAATTGGCCCTATCTGCAACGATCTGAGCCATTAAATCTCGAAGTTGATTGATTGTTTCATGTTGTGCTTGGAGCATGACTTGCTGCTCATCAAGCCTCTTTGAGAGATCTTCAGGATTTCCTACCATATAGACAGAGCTCTCATATTCTACAAAAGAACTTGAAGATTGAGATTCTGCAATGGTTGTGAGTTCATTATTAGAATCCACTCCTCTAACCAATCTTCGATAATTGACAGGAGGAATGGCTCCCGTCCGAGTTTGAGTGTGCCGGTATATTCCTTCGAACTCATCCTAAATTTTCCTAACGCTTGGAGAACGATCCATCTCTGATTCATTAGAGCTAGGGACTGACGACTTTCCTCTATCGATCATATTGATAGTGACTTTAGGATACTCAGCCTCTGAAGATTTCTTCTTGTAATGACGTCAACGCTTGCTTGGTCGAGCAACACTCGTCAATCAATCGAACACTGATCGCCTAGGCACATAAGCACAACATTGGCATTCTGAGAGGACCACAGAAATAAGTCGCTCATATTGACATGAATGAGTGGATTGTTACACCAGTCTTTCTCTCGATAAAAGCTCCCTTAAATTGGAGACCTGAGCAGAATCTCTCACTAATCGTGAGGTTGAAGCTGGAACCCCATGTTCATCAATAGATAAGATTGGTTCTTAGTGAACATAAATCTTAAGCCCATGTTGATCTTTTTGTACATGACGTACCATATCACGTTTTGAAGAAGGGATGCGAGAGTCGCGTTCAGTGTTTGGAATGCAAGAACTACATTTGAGAATGGAAACGCAAGTGTCAAATTTTGTTTGAGCAACACATGCCTAGGGTGTGCGTTTTGTTGGTGAAACACGCCTTTGGAGCTTGTATTCTAATTGAGTAACACGTCCCTCGGGGCTGCGTTCTGTTTGAATAACGTGCTTCTGAGAGCTGTGCTTTGGAGAATCAATGATTTCCCGAGGTCTGCGTTTTGTTTGAACAACGCACCACTGAGGGCGTTCAACTTGGCTTTCATGGAACTCATGCTTGGGCTCATGAACACGAGGCTCGCATTTTGTAGAAACGCCAAGCTCAGGGTCATGTTTTGGCTCACAAACATGAAGCTCACGTTGATCAAAAGATCGGCTTTCTCGGAGTTGTGCTCGTCGAATGGATCTTCTTCTTCATTGAGCGGTATTCTTCTTAGTCTATCTTATGACTTTTGAAGTAGCATCACCATCAGTACTGATCAAGTTTGCCACTGCAATAGGCCTTTTATGATCCGATACTCGTTGTGTTAGCACGGGCATATAATCGTCAACTTGACTGACGAGTTTGGTTGAAGCTGAGTCTACTCCTGCAGAGGAGAGGCTATTCGAGCAATCTATGCTAAAGGAAAGGCCTTCCTTTGGTAATTCAACTACAATTGGAGCTTTAGTCTCCTTAGAGACTTTGCGGACCTTGCGCATAGCCTTGGGACTAAAGGATTCGGAGGAAAGTGCCTCTTCGTACTTGGTTTGATCAAACTCTACAACAAGAGTTTCGATCGTAGTTCTAGTGAGGTTGACGTCAGATTGTACCACCACTTCTTCATCAGTGAATCTAGTCCCCAGCGGAGTCGTCATCTTTTGTTTGTGAAAAAATTGAAGAAGAAATGAGAATAAAATTCTGTATTAATCTCTCAACTGACTTAGGAAAAGAATAAATATAATCTCTCATAATAATCTCTCTCTAACTGACTTAGAAGAAGAAATTATAATTTCTCTTATCGGTTTCTCGATTTATAAAAGAGAGAAAGATCGACGGAGATCTTTCCCTTTGTTTAAAACTGGGATCTTTTTGGTGTCGATGGAAGCTTAATTCTTATATCCCGTTGATGATCCGAACGCTTTGCCTCATGGAACTTAGTTGATTCTTCTTGATGGGAAGAACTTGCAATGCAAGTTTAAAAACTCTCACGAGTTTAAGAACTCTGATTGAGTTTGAGAACTCGGTACGAGTTTAGAACTCTAAACGAGTTAAGGAACTCAGAATGAGTTTAGAACTCTATAAAAGACTTGATTTAATCCAACTAAAATTCAGTTTACAAGCCAAGAATGAAGAAAAGCTCCGGAAGATGCTCCAAGGTTTCTGTTGCCGATGTCTAGATCCAAAAATGCTCAAAGATCCCCTAAAAAAGATCTGAACCTAGTTGAGTTTTTTGCTATTTATAGGGGTTTTAGGGGTGTAACTAACCCCTAAAATCGCTCTTTAGTGGGGTTGTGATCCCTTCAAATCGTGAGAAATGGTTTTAGAACCGTTCAACTCGTGTTTGAATGAGTCAAACACAGAACTTGCGTTCTGTGCACAAACTTTGCGTTCTGGACCTGAGACACAGAGTTAGGTTCTACATTTGAGGTTGAAAAACACAATGGTGAGCCATGCATTTTGAGGCTGAAAAACATAGTGGTAAGCAATGTGTTTTGAGTCTGAAATGCAGAGATGAGCCATACGTTTTGAGTCTGGAACGTAAAGATGAGCCCTGCGTTTTGAGTCTGGAACGTAGAGATGAGCTTTGTGTTTTGGGTTTAAGAGACTGTTGATTTGTAGTCTCTCTAGTTAGAGAGTTGTAAAGATCATGATCTTCATCTCTGCTCCTTAGAATGTGAGAGTCGTCAGTTGTATCTCCTATTGATAATTGTGAAGGTCGTTGAATCAGAACTTCCATCAGTTGTTGTGAAGGTCTTTGAATTGTAACCTTCATTGATTGTCGTGAAAGTCTCCAAATTGTAGCTTTATGGAAGTCGTTGAATTATAACTTCCATTATTAGTGCTTGCTAAGAATCAACTAACTGTAATAATTTTTAGACAGCCTACAATAGTTAAAAAGGAAACTGTCCATCTCCCATGAAGACCCAAACCCGAAGTAGGTAGAGTTCAACTGTTTTAAAACACAAATCTTGCGTTTAAATATGATACCTACGAAAGTAGGCAAAGCGGTGGGTTCGTCAGAGGGACTAGCGGCTTTCTTACCCTTACCCTTATCGTCGGCAGTTTTTGGAAGCTATGAGTTCGAAGTTTTGAAGAAGACAAGTAGAAAATCAAAGATGATTTGTGTAGATAAAATGACTAGGGTTCAAAAGTCTAGAGAAGACAAAATGATTTTGTCGAAGGCAAAGCGGTGGGTTCGTCAGAGGGTGAGTTATCTTCGGATGCGAAAAAAATTTCGCACAGCAACAGTGCGAAACGATTGTAAGCCGTTGGATTTAACAAACGACAGATGAACAATGAACACATTCCGAAGATAACTCACCCTCTCTCATAACCCTCAACATATTCCCACTGTACTCCACAAACTCTCTGCCCCCAAATCCTCCTCCCTCTCCCTCTCTTCCTCGTCACCCTAAGCTTCACCGCCGACCATCTGCTGTTGGCGACCTCCTCCTCCGCCATTAAGCCCCGTCACCACCAACTCTGGATCCGACCCCGACCTCAACCCAACGACCACTCCGCCACGACACGAGACCCAAACTCCGGATCCAACCCCAACCCCAACTCCAGCGACCACTCCGCAACGACAAGAGAGAGTCTTGAATCAGGTGCGTTTTCATTTCTTGATTGATTTAGGGATTTTTTTGATGTGGGTTGTTGATGTTTTAGGGCTTTTTGATTTCTTGCTTGATTTAGGGCTTTTTATTGATTATTGTTGGCTTTTTGATAAATTTTGTATATATGGGGCAGAGATGGATGTTATTGAGTGAGCGACATGTTATGAACTGTTTTTTTTGGATATATGAGGGAGAGATGGATTATTGTTGGCTGATCTTAAAACATATGAAGATCCTTTTTTTTCTTCACTTTGTATTTAGTTTTTCCCTCTCTCTCGCCGGCGTCGAAGACCCCATCAAAGACCCCCACCCTAGGACCGTCGGAGACCCCCCCACCCCGTCGAAGACGATCCCTCCCCCTCTCTCGCCGATGCAGGTAATAATCCAACCCCTCTTTTTTTCTTTAAAATGCTGAAATTATCCATGGGTGTTGGATTTCGATTGTTATGTTGGGTGTTGGATTATTAAGCCAATATTTTTTATTTTAGTGACATGAATTTAGTTGTAGTTGGGTGTTGGGTGTTGAAATTATCCATGTGTGTTGAATTTAGCTGTAGTTGGGTGTTGGATTTTTTATTTCAATTGTATGAAGTCTATATACCTGACAATAACAGATTGCATATTACATTCATTTGCGGAACACATTGCATATTACATTCTTTTCTCCATTCCTATCTTAGCAACCATCTTCAGTGGAACGGCTTCTCTTGCATCAATCTTGTGGTCAGTTTGCTTGAATTTAGCTTGGGTGTTGGATTTCAATTGTTATGTTGGTCAGTTTGCTTGAATTTAGTTGTAGTTAGGTGTTAGTGACATGAATGCAGATTTGGTTGACAAATTTAGACCACAAATCAAATATACGTTTGCATTGTAGTTAGGTTCAAACTATTTCAATTTGCCCTACTGGTCATGACTAAATTTGGTTTCAAGATAAAGTTGTATATTTTGATACATGGAGTCATCTTCAAGCACTTGTCATGGATTGATGTGCCATTGTGGAAGGAGGGCTATACTCTCCAGATCTGGATCTAAGATGAACCCTGGTTGATTATTTTTGGGATGCGCTAATTGGAAAGTGCGTAATTGTGGATTCTTCAAATGGGTGTCTGGTGAAGAGGAGTTTGAAGGTTCAAAGGCAGGGCTTGTTCAGACGAAGCAGTCGAGCGTGATCCCGCAAGTTTCAAGTGCCGTGTCAATTGGAGAAGTTCGGGAAAAGAGAAAGATTGAAATTGATATTATGGAATTGTTGAAGCTTGTTGTATTTGTTCTTTTATTGGGTATTTTTCTTGGATTTGTATTTGGTATTTTTATTGGATTTGTGCTAAGTAGGGTGTAAGACTGTATTATTGGATGAGTAAGATTTGTATTTGATATGATAAATTTGGTCTTTTATTTTTTGCTTCTGTGACACCAACCAAATTAATCACTTTTATTTTTCTGAAGGGTTGATCATGACTAAATTTTCATGTTTTACAACCAGCCATTGACTTGATCCAAGTTATCATGATCTGAATACTTCCACCATGTTCAACCTCAATCTAAATCATGCCTACATTAATTCATTTCTTTGCAGCATACAATGAATTAACCATTTTTCCTTGACCAGGTGCACAACAATAGGCATGTATTGCGTAGAACCAGAGACATGAGAATTGACATAAACTAAAAATCAAATATGAGGCACTAAAAAAGTTCAAATGTTCCTTGGCTATCGGTGTTTTCTTTTTGTGATGTTGGCTATTAGCTGACTTTACTTCGAGGAATTTGCATCTGTTAAGTATGAAAATAACTCCAAACAAAATATGACCATGAGAATAACTCCAAACAAAATATGACCATGAGATCCAACACTGGCAACAGGAAGCACAAGAATAACTTAGTGACATGAAAGTTAAGTACTTCACAAATATATTCTGTACAACTTAGTATCAGGCTCAAAGGTTTCAAAGCAAACTGAACAAACTTTGAATGTTTCAAAGCAAACAGAACAAACTTCTTTCCGCCAACCTTGATCAAACTTCACGCAATAGTGAGAACTTCATCTGTATTGAAAAACATTAAAAAACTAAGTGCTTCATCACATTAAAAAATCACATTATATTAAAAAATGGCAATGTACAAGTTATTCTGTATGTATTAACCATTACCTTCCTCAAATGAATCTTCTAAATCATCATTGGCTTCATTAATATTATCTTATTCCATTGAATCACTAAAAAAAGTGATGATAGCAAAACATATTGAAAGATCATTGCACCAACATAAAAAAGTTTAGAAAAATAATAGCATTACTATTAATCTCATAAATGATACACTACATTGACAACTTTAGAGGGCAATTTCTGCTATCGTGATTTTGTCCTCGCTTTCCACACAATTTGCATTTCCTAGGCTTGTATTTGTGGATCTCTCTCGAAGGCTTTAACCTCTTCCCTTTAGGCCTTCCTTTTGTTCTTGCTTGACTTGGTTCATGAACTATATCTTGAGAACACTCTGCATTCATATAATGTCCTTCCACATCTTGTCCAATTTTTTCATCATTGATGAGTTTCAAACGTTGCACCTTATTAATAGCATCCATCATCATTTCACGCATTAATTCATATGCATCATTAGAAGATAGCCCCTCTTCGACCATTTCATTAGCTAAGCGATTTAGTTCACTAAAACGAGAAGCAAAATTAATTGTAGCATTATCTCCAATAATATTACTATCTCTAAGAACAACCTTTTTTTTTGACATTTCGGCACCATCTTCTTAGAATATATTGCTCCGGTAACTCACTATGATTGGTAATTTTAAGATATGCCAAGATATGTTGGCATGGAATGCCCTTGAATTCAAACATGAGATACGAACAACAGACCATTTTAGTTGTTTTGCAATATATAATATGTCTCAATCTTTCATCCTGACCACAAAAATTTAAAATGAAAGTACTTTCTCTTTCATTTTCTTTTACCAGCTCAATGTTATACATTAAGCTAGGTTGAAGCTCGTCTTGAAAAATATAAAAGATTTTTTTCATGTAGATTTGAGCCATTTGTTTTTCCATTGACCACAAAGTCTTCAATTTTGGCTTTGTCTCCACTGTGCAATGATCTTCTTTAAGCTCCCCCTCTCTTTGTCTCGCCAAGAACCTTTGAAAGATGATCACAAAATCATGAAATGAGTTTTTCCTTGATACATGCATTTTTAGCAATGCATTCATCCCTTCACTTCATTGACTGCTAGACATACCGGCCCAAAAGTGTTGTTTATGGTAAACCGAAGCCCATTTTTCACGAATTTCATAGATATCCTTTAGCCAATCATGCGTTTTTAATCCATTTTTCTTAAGAATTGAAACTCAATTCTCTTCAAAAGAGCTAGCAGTCTCGGAGTCCCAAATATTTTCTTTGAAAGGATTCATAAATTCCGTTCTATAAGCCCATTTACCCAACTTCTCCGGAACTTTGTTCAAGATATTCTAAATGCAAAACCTGTGCCGAATTTTTGGAAATACTATTTCAATTGCCTTGCATATGCCAAGACATTGATCAGTAATCATGCCTGAAGGAGGATGACCCATTGCTTCAATCCATTTGTTAAACAACCATATGAAAGACTTCGCCTCTTTGTTTGGAATCAAGCCACATCCTAAAAAACACTTTGCCAATGGTGATTTATGCCTACAAACGGCACAAATACCAAGCCATATTGATTTGTGTTATGCGTGGCATCGAAAGAGACAACATCATCAAAGTGTTGATAATTCATTCTAGCAATGCCATCCACCCAAAAACAATGAGTTAAGCGCTTCTCTTCATCAACGTCATAAACATAATAAAATGAAGGATTCTTCTTTTGTTCCGACTTGAAATGATCCAACATCATTTGTGCATCATGACCACGCCTCTCCTCTCTCAAATCTCTTTCATAATTTCTCACATCGGTCTCAATGCATCCAATTCTATGAAAACCTCCGCTAGAGTTTTCAAAGAAGGCCATTTGCTTGTTTGTTGGAATGTTCACCTCTCCAAACTGCTTTATCAATGTCTTCTTCGCACTTGTAACCTCACGGTTTCCCCTTAGAAAATGTGTTCTACTCGGTGAAGTAATTGTATGATTATGTTCTTCCACGAACTTGTAGACACTCCATATGCCAATGTTTTTGTCTAATTTCAAGTGAATCAAGAACTTACAATTTGTTCTAATTGTACCACATCGTCGAATTTCCAACGATTTGCTCTTTAACACTCCTTCTTTTGAACAAACATAACTTTTGCCAATTAATTCTCTATCCTTCCCATAATTTGTTGTGCTATTACGGATATCAAAACCTCTGGCCTTTCCATAATTTCTGTAGAATTTTTCAGCGTCTTCTAAATTGCCAAAAGTCATTCCTATTTTTGGTTTTAAGTGCTCATCAACAATTAGCACAACTAAGTTATCCAACTGAGAGATTTATTCATCAACAACATGAGAGCAACCATCTTCAGTTTCCATTGGATTGATGTAAATAAGCCTATAGAAACAAAAATACATTTATATTCAGGATTCTACAACATCTATATGCAAAATTTATATTTAGAAAAAAATACATTTATTGAGTCTATCAAATTTTCAGCCCCCATTTTCAATTAAAACAATGCAACAATGTAACATCTTATTTAAACAATGCAAACGTAACACCCAACACCCATGGATAATTTCAACACCCAACACCCAACACCCATGGATAATATCAACACCCAACAATGCAACAATGTAAATTTATCAATCAAATTTGCATTCATGTCACTAAAACCTAACTACAGCTAAATTCAACACCCATGTATAATTTCAACACCCAACACCCAACTACAGCTAAATTCATGTCACTAAAATAAAAAATCTTGGCTTAATAATCCAACACCCAACATAACAATCGAAATCCAACACCCATGGATAATTTCAACATTTTAAAGGAAAAAAAAGAGGGGTTGGTTATTACCTGCGTCGGTGAGAGAGGGGGAGGGATCGTCTTCGACGGGGTGGGGGGGTCTCCGACGGTCCTAGGGTGGGGGTCTTTGATGGGGTCTTCGACGCCGGCGAGAGAGAGGGAAAAACTAAATACAAAGTGAAGAAAAAAAAGGATCTTCATATGTTTTAAGATCAGCCAACAATAATCCATCTCTCCCTCATATATCCAAAAAAAACAGTTCATAACATGTCGCTCACTCAATAACATCCATCTCTGCCCCATATATACAAAATTTATCAAAAAGCCAACAATAATCAATAAAAAGCCCTAAATCAAGCAAGAAATCAAAAAGCCCTAAAACATCAACAACCCAACACAATATACTACAGACGAGATTTACGGATGAGATCTATGGAGGAGATCTCGAGGCTCCAGCTAGCAACCACCTATCGGGCCTAGAAAAGGCGCGAGGATGGAAGCCATAGCATTTAATGTAGACAAGCCTGACTGTCAGACCAACGTGGGCCTGATGAAGCTCATATGGAGTGACGAGACTCAACAAACTACCGAGCCTCGTCTCGAAGTGCCTAGAAACAATGAACTATGAGGCTCATTTTAAAGTATTGAGGATAAGTCTATCCTATGAACCAAACTCATGATAATCGAGAGGTTTCAAAGTATTCAGACTTCATACAACCTAATTCAAGTCTGAAAACTTTGAAGGGGGTCTTGTAGGCATTCAAAAATGCCAAAAGGGAAATGAGGGTCGCACCTCATTGCAAATAGGAAAGGGTCATTATCAGGGCGCACCTCGTCTCGTCATTGAAGATGAATGTCATTCAGAAGCTCAACTAGAAGCATTGAAGCTCATTGTCAAGAATGAAGTTCGAAACTCATCGTTGGAAATGAGGATCAAAGGTCGCCAAACAACAAAGTTCGTTAGTAAAGATGAAGCTCGTCAAAGGAAGTTCACAAGATTGGCTAGGCAGTGTACGCGTCAAAAATTGCCTATAGGTCCTCGCACGTGGCTCGAGACAGAGAGAGGAAGATAAACATTGCTGTTCGAGTCACAGAAGCTTATTTGACGATGACAAATACATGAAGTGAGTCGATAGACCGTGTGAAGCAACAGAACTTCAGAATAACCAAACACGAATTGATCGGGAGCTGTGTGTCGTTTACAAAAGACGAAGAGCCCCTCAGGTCCCATTTACTCCACATGTGATTCAATCATGGAATCTCGTAGATCTCCTCGTCGGCTTTCCAACGCACTTTGAATCACACAATTTTGAGTTCGGACAACTAAAATACGACGAAAACGGACAGAACGCGTGAAACTACATTCCGGGCCTCGCCGAGACACCCCTTGGTGTCTCGGCCAGGCCAAGACACCTCAAGGTGTCTCGGCCATGTTGAGACACCCGGAGGTGTCGTCGAGACACCACGGGTGTCCGTAGACCCCAAAAAACTGAATTTTGGCAGTTTAAAGCTGTTTTTTAATCGTTAGCTATCTGGATTTGTTTTAACTGATAGAATATCATCAAAAAACATGGTTAAGTGGTTACAACTAAAGATAAGATCGAATTAATTGTTCTTATCCGAAAATAGGGGTCCCTAAGCCTATGAATTCAGCCCCAAGGCCTTCATTTTTTCAGATCTGGAATTCATGAGCGTTGGCAAAACCCTGTTGAAGTAAAGACTGAAGGAGCACGAATTTCAGAAGAGAGGAGGAGATCGGATTGAGTTCGTTGGCATAAAGAAGAGGAGCTTGTCAGATCTATACGTCCCGGTCCTTTGCCTTGAGATTGCCCCGTTGTGATAATCTCGAGAAGAGTGATTATCTCGCCGTTGCCGAGATAATTGCTTCGGCTTCTCGATTCCTTCGAGAATCGATGAAGCTCCGGATCTGATCTGATCGTTTGGTGGTCCACGGATATCAACATCCCCGTTACAGTCTAAGATCCCACGCAAGCAGCGGGTGATAAACACCTGTTGCGTTGTTTGACGAGAGTTGTACTTTTTTTTATTTTTTATTGTGTAAGCGTCTTATAAAAATACTATCTTTTTTTGTTGTTATTATAACGACTAAAGTTGTAATGACTACATCAATGAAGACATCAACTTTCTCCCCAAACAAGCTGGCGACCACAGTGAGAGCCAACAGTCTCGTCAACGAGGCTGTCGTGCCGCAGCCGACGATCAAGATCCTCGTGGCTAAAGAGGTCGAATACGAGTTCGACCAACAAAAGTTTTAGGAGTACGTCTCCTCCTCCTCCTCCAGATCCGTCTCTCCTTGCAAGCGCATGAAGGTCTCCTCCGTCCGAAAGATCCGCTGGTCTTCAGATCTGAAGACTCAAGAAGGCGAATTCCACTCTACCGTTGCTACAGCCGCACCTCATAATGATCCACCAGCGTCCAATGAGACCAGATCTGCAGATCTAAACTCCTCCGTGATCAAGGAGTTAACTGCTAAAGGTGCGCCAACTATATCAAGGAGAGCATGTCAAAGGCAACGCCAACACCTCGTATGCCAATTCGCCAAGACTTTGGATCAGGTGGACGGACTATGTTACCAAGCGGATTTGGAGTTCAGAAAGTGCCATGTGGCTAAGCCATCTCTACAACAAGCTTCAGGAATCTCCTCCCAACCACCTACTAACGAATAGGTTCATGTCAAACGGAACCGTTCTATTCTTGAGGAGCATATTCAGAAGCATCGGGCACTTCTTGCACATGCCCAGATCCTTGAGCGAAAAACACAAGAAATGCAAAAGGAAGAGGTGGTTAAGAGATCGCCGAGATCCAAACAAATTTGGATGCCAAAGACCAAATCAACGCCTAAGGCAAAAGCAAGCAACGTTGCTCCCCAGCCTTCGTCAACTTCGGATCTCGCTCCTTCCGCCTTACACATTCAGTGAAACCCTACGTCGACGTGGACCTTTCCAAATTTAGAATTCCGTTGAAGGGTTGCCTGGGTCATTTACACGAAGATCAAGGCAAAGCGTCTGTTAAGGAACGCTTGGGACCGTTGAAGGAACCCCGAGCAACCATCCAGATTGGGGGTCGTACGTGACATCCTAACAAGTTGATTCCCGTAACTACCCGCTGGTGATGCCTGCATAAAACCAGGAGCCCGTTAAAATTTTATCCTCACACGGGTGTGATTCTAAACATGTGACTCCTGCTAAAGCTAATAAAACACTACCTATTTAGAAGAAGACGCGTTGAATAGACGACAGCGTTCCATCTGAGGAATCAAACCAACAACCGATAGGTTGCTCTGACTGTAACGTCGATGAGTTGTACTATCGGGCTAGGAGTACGAATAAATCTCGAAAGAGAAGTACCCGAGAAGCGGACTCTCACTATCCGTATACCAAACTTATCAGGGAAGTATTATCAGCGTGTAGCTACCCTAAGACCGCTTCACAGAGGGTCTCGGTATTTGAAAGGATCTCTACCAGAACGTCCAAGTCCAAGCCAAGGTGTTTCTATAGAAAAAGATCAGCTACGCAGGATGATGAACTCCCAAAGGTCATCATCAATATGGTCGATAAGGAGAAGTCAACGCGAAGTTTCAATCCCCGACATTTTTCGGACATATCCTAACGTATAACTCAGTTACGTGCGGGAACTACTAGGCGAAGGGACTATCAGAGGATGAATAGTGGATTATCCTTAGAAGATGAAGCATCAGATGCGAACTCTGCCATCACTTCTGACAATACAGTGTCCAACATAGGACAATCCCACAAGACGTTTTTCGTCAACACCGAGCAAATGGCAAAAATCATCGAGGATGCATTGGCTAAGCAAAAGAGAACTTCAAGTTCGAAATGAAAATGGCTATGCTGCGAATGAGGGAAGAGCATGATCAACAGATCCGAGCCTTACCGAATCAGATAGGTGAATCCAGTCGTCACAACAATGTTAGTCAAGCAGCTAGCGATTCAGATGTGGATGAACATCTCGATACAGATAACCCTCTCGTTGACCAAAACGCTAGGAGTGGCCCCACTGAGAATAACAACATTGAGGGTGGTCCCGCCAATAATGACAACACTGGGGGTGGCCCTATTATTCCTCCTCAAAATCGACCAAGGAAGGACATGAGCAAGGATGAAAAGATAAAAGACCTAGAGAGCAAAGTCAACGTTCTGATATCTACTTGAGTGGCGAAGAAGACCGGTATTCCGTGTCCTTACCCAAGAGAGTGGAATTCGATACCATATCTGACGAAGTTCAACCTGATCAACTTCACGCCATTTGACGGAAAGGGTCCCCCCACTCAGCATCTAATCTACTTCAAGTCTCACTTGGGTATGATTTCTGGGAATAAATCCCTAATGGTCCGGTCATTCGTCGGCACCCTTACGGAGCTGCCTTTGATTGATACCGTTATCTCAAACCTTAAAGCATCAACAGCTAGGATGACCTA